CTCTCTCTCTCTCTCTCTCTCTCTCTCTCTCTCTCTCTCTCTCTCTCTCTCCCTCTTTGTCTTTCTTGATCCCTATTATAATATATAGATGCCAATATTTCTAGAGCTTCTGTCTTCTAAACCGCCGTGGTTTTGACTCCTTTGTAGACACTAAACGATATTGTGTAGTGGCGTCGGCAGTAATTACTTACACTCATAAAGGTGGGATTCCCTTTAATATTTGCGGAAAATCACAAGACGTAGGGGAAAAGGGTGGGGGTGGGTAGGGGGTGCAGGCCGAAGAAAAGACCGTCAGTTTAAAAAATGGCTTTATATTCAAGGAGTTGCTTTGTTTCCTTCCTTTTCGGAACGGGTAAGAGGGAGTTTATATTCGTGCTTTGTCACCTACTATACAAGCTTAAGTAAGGCTCTATAATTATGAACAAATAAAAATCTTCAAAACACTATATCTATAGATTTATCTTTGAAGAGTAATTTTTTAGAGCGAAAGTGAGGTAACTAATTGTTACGTGCTTTGTGACCTTCGCAAACTCATATAATGCACTAGCAAACAGACATTCTTGCTGAAAGTATGATACATGAACAAAAACATCCTCGGAACACTATTTCTATGGACTAATCTTTCGAAGGGTAAATAGATTCAAGTTCAAAACGACTCATTTTCATTATTTTGCTTGTTTGTGCCTTAAGAAATAAAGCAAACTCAAAGATAGGGCCACTCCTCGCTCAAAGTCGAACAGGCCACCTTCAACATTAAGTTGATGAAGATGAAACCGTTTACACTAGTCTTACAAAAATGTTAGGTCTACCTCGTAAGATGGATAGATAGATAGATAGACAGATAGATGGATAGATAGATAGCACATTTCTCAAACGGAGATCTCATAGCTCTATTTCTTCTTTGAAGTATTGCAAGAGTTGGAAAACAAAATAATCGCGGACACTGAAAGGCTCAGCTGTAACAGTGAAAGTTTTTCAAGGCTCCCAGTTTCTCGCACCATGTTTAATCTGCCACTGTCCTCAAAGCTTCACCTACTCGTGTATCTACATTTTCACGTCCTAGGAGTTTGCAAGCAAAGGAACTGTTGCACAGACCAAACAATCGTTGAGCTGCACAAACAGGAAAAGTGCCCATGTGTTCAGGCGTTGTGTGTATGTGTGTGTGTGTGTGTGTGTGTGTGTGTGTGTGTGTG